AACTTATTTTTATGCTCGGAACAGATTTTCACAGAGACTCACTTCAGACGTGAATAAATACCTCATATTTGCCCTCGTTCTCCTTCTTGGCCCTGTCCACGTCCAGCATCAGTGCCCAGGCCCGGCCTCGGAGCTGCAGGGGGATGCCTTTGTATACTCGTTTTACCATCTGACAGCAGAGAGCAGAGGGACTCATAAACACCGGGTGAATAAAACGCCACAAAGTTTAGAGAACAGAAGCTACAAAGACTGAATCATCAGAAAGTTAAACCACCTACTGATCGCCTACGACCCCGTTCACAGTAAAACCAAACGTTTGAAAACATTTTCCGTGAGCACTCGAAGCAGGTTTGTAAGTATCTGTCTGTACAGTTTCTGTTAACTTGGTTGACTTCTACTTCTACCCCAAGTACCTCCACTCATCAGTTCATCCACCCTGCTTGCTCTCATTGCTGTGTATGTATTTGATGTACTTTTCTCAGCTTACTGACCACTCAAAGTGCTTTAGACTACAAGTCACATTTTAGCCACACATTCATAAAGCACTCTACACGTCTATCCTCACGTTCATGGCCAGTTTAGATGAAGCGTTGCAGAGGAGCTGCATGAGAACTGGGATTATTACAGAGATCTGATTTAAAATCCCACCTACATTTACAACAAAGCTACAGATTTTTACAATTTTCTGATTACTCTGGGTTTTTTTTACTTAGGCAGGCTGCACAACTATATTTTTTAAAAGATGTATTATTATTTTTCCATCTTTCCGAGACAGCAACATGATATTTACTCCTGCAGCCTCCCAGCCCTGACTTTGTTCAGTCACTGCTAACCAACTAACTCTACTCAGAGGCAGCACATTAGTGTATAAGGAGCAAACTGGTCAGCTTGGTGTTGTGCTGGTGTATATCACAGAGTTTTGTTGAGTCTGTAGACTTCAGCTGGTGCTTGTTCTGCTTCAGGGATCTGCTGTAAACTGGTGGCTCTTTGAACCAGAATCCACAGCAGCCAGAGATCTGCTGCCACTACACAGAGTTCAGCACAGCTGCAGAGCAGAACAGAGACTACAGTCAGCAGCTTCAGTCAGGTGGACCTGTGCATATTGTATTATTTATTCAGTCATTTGGAAAAGGACTGGTGTTTACAGTTACAACTCCCAACTAGAACGAGCTCAATGACGACTTTAAAAGAGAGCGTGAGGCTAACAAAGAGCTCAAATTCATGTTTCGAGCACGATAATGTTTCATGTTTTTAACAAAGACCGATGACAGAAATGCTCAATGATGGATCAAACTGAAC